GTGCAGCCACACAACCCGAGTCACGTGGAGCTGATTTTCTGCTGCCTCCTTGTGGAGAAGGGAACCACACTCATAGCATCACACCTGTGTATAAATAAGCACACGCACCTGCTGAGCCCTCCAGTCAGGGTCTCTCGTTGAACCTGGAAGTCACTCATTCCTGTTTGCAGCTCCCCGAGCAGCTCTTTGGGTGCTGGGGATCTGAGCTCAGACCCTCACTCTTACACAGCACTTTCCCTACCAGGGTTCTTTCCTGTGCTTATTTGTTTCTGAGGCAGGTTCACTGACGGAGTTTGCTATGTAGATTGGGCTGGCCTGTAGCTCCCAGAGGGCCTCCAGCTCCTGCCTCCTGAGTGCTGAGATCAAAGGCGTGCGCCATCATGGCCAGCCACTAAAATTCGTTTAAATCCATCCTTTCCCCTCTTGCAAATACCTTTGTGTGTCAAGCTGAGCTGCCTGTCCTGAGTTTCAGCTGAGGTGGTTAACAGGTTCCCTCCTGCTCTAGCCATTTTCTGTGCATCAGTTAGCTCTTAAGGCTTCATTGTATTCAATGTGGATATTTTTGGTAAGAGTAACTCATACGTGGTGGTGGCATTTTCTGTAAGTGGAACATGATGTCTGCTTGTCTTTTTGTGGTATATCAGCCACTGATGTTCAATCCCTTCATCCACTCATTCATTGGGGGATTTTTTTTTTTAATCCAGCTAATAGAGTTTACGATTTTTGTCCGTTTTCTGTGTACAGTTTTCCGCATTAGGCATGTTCACACTGCTGTGGTATTACTGCCATCCATCCACCTCTAGAACTCTGTCCTCTGCCCAAACCGAAGCCACACGTCTCTCTCTGAGCCAACAACCCTTGCTCTCCTCCAGCTGCTGGCACGTACACCACTCAGTCTCCAGCAGTTTCAATGACCTCCACAGCTCTCCTGCATAAGCGGAGCTGCACACATTCAGAGATGTTTGTCGCTATGCCAGCTGCAGAAGAAAACCACCTGTGCTCCCATGGTTGGTGTATTTCCTTTAGCACAGTGTCTCGATGGTTCCGTGTCATGGAGTGTTAGAATTCCCTTCACGTCTGTGACAATTCGTTTAGTAAACTTGGTAGAACTCAGCATCCCCTGGGAAACAAACCTATGGACTATCTGAGGCTTTCCAGGAAGATCCCTGACATGGGAGCATGGGAGAGCAGCCTGGTATGAGCGGCATCGTTCCATAGGCTGAAGTTCTGTGCTGATGAAAAGGAGAGAGCTCTGACTGCAATGCCAAGTCCAGCACCTCATCATGTCCACAGCACAACAGACTGTGTCTCCTCAAACTGTAAGCCAAAAACAAACCTGTATGAGGCTTCTTGCCAGGTATTTGGTCACAGCAAAAGGACCACCCCATTTGAAGCTGGGCATGAGCCAGGAGTGCCACACACTGTGGAGTGGAGGTGGAGGTGAGGGTCAGGAGTCCAAGGCCATCACTGGCTGGCCACACAGTGAGCTTGAGATCAGTCAGGACTCCAAGGGCTGTCCCAGACAGACAAACCAACAAAGGTTGGGTAGTTTCCACAATGCATATAGGTCGTGGTCACGTGCCACGTAAATGCTTCAGTCAACAGACTCTCATACTGGTACACCCCACAAACCAATAAGGTTTGCATAAGCCCTCTGCAATGCTCTTACAACAGCAAGATCACCAGAGAACACATTTCCTTTAGTGTGTCCTCACTAAAGTGATGCACCCTGACACAGGGATGAAGGCACAACGCAGCATAACTATGACCAACACTCCTGGAAACACGGGGAAAGAAGCACCTGTTGTACAGCAGGCCCAGAGTCCAGCAAGATGGCTCAGTGGGCAAAGGTACTCGCTGCTGAGGTTGACAACCTGAACTGACACAGCAGGAGAGAACTGACCTCCTCATGTAATGGGCCAGACATTCTCACTTTCCTTACCACACAGGGCAGGGGACTGAGTAGTGCTGAAGCGTCACTCGGACTTGAGCTCAGGGCAGAGGCTGGGACATTTCTGGACTTGGTTCTTGTAACGAGAAGACTGTCACCTTGGATAAGGTGTGCAGTACCATGATGTTCAGTTACACCTGTAATCAGCTGGCTTTACATACAGATCACCCCATGAAGGGAATGATCTTTCTCTACTTAGCCAAAGGCCTTAAGAGTAAAGTGATTTCCCGGAGAAGGGAAAATTCTGCTTCAAAATGGCGTAAGTGTCCTGCCTGCCTGCCCCCCCCCTCCCGCCCTGCACACTGCAGGTGTCAGGCATGAGACCTTGCCACAACTTCTAGGCAATTCCTCGAGGCTCTGAGGACAGGCATACATATACCCACAGAAACTTAACTGATATAACTGTTATTATCAAATACCAGTGACTCTAGACATTATTCTTGCTACAGATATGGCAATGATTCTTGGTGGCTTTAACCTGAAATTGTAAGGCAAAAGAATGTTTATATGGAAAATTATACTGCAAAGCTGTTTGAATCACAGGCGCCTCTTACATGCCTGTGCTAGTCAATTAAAGCAAAGTCTTCACAGCACACAGAAGTGTGGTCAAGGTGTTCTAGCTGGAGTGCAGATATGAACTTCAGAGTTTGATTGAGATTTATTTACTTTGTGGACCTCGGGTCAAACCCAACCTTTGTACTTGCTAGGCTAGCATCTGCCACTAACTTACGTCCCCAGTCCTCTCCTGAGTTTATTTTCAGTCCAGTGCCACAAGAATCAGCTGGGTCTGCAGCTCAGTTGTGAGGGATGTAATTCCAAGTGTGAGATTCTGGATTCAATCCCCAACACCAAACAACAAAACCACTCAGCATGAGCTTGTATGGTCATGTGCTGTATGATCATAACACTCGGAAAGTAGAGAGAAGGGCTAGCAGAGGCCTCTGCACAGACCACGTTCAAGACCACTCTAGTCCACAGCCAACATCTCCTGGTAACAGGCTGTCACCTCAGGTCTGTGCCCAGCAACTCTTGCCCCATGAGCTCTGAGAGGCCTTGTTCTTCCAAAGCAGGTCTCCTTAGTCCCACCCTTCCACTCTGGGAGCCACTTCCCATTCTTCTAAACTAATTTTAGTATGGTTACCCAGAGCCAACTTCCTATGCTCACAACCCAAGGAACCAAGGCCACAAGGAAGGCAGCCACCTATCAAATGTACGCCAAAGGGGCGGGAAGGACCACAGTCAATCCCAGACACCTTCGCTGCTTTCTTTTCCAAAGGATACCTTCCTTACCAAGGGCAGCAGACAATGGCACATCTGGGAGTTTGAGAAATCCAAGCTACAGTTCACCTGCTTAGCCACAAAAATCCCCCCCCTCCTTTAAAAATTACATGTTTGTTGGGCTGGAGAGATGGCTCAGCCGTTAAAGGTTAGGCTTACAACCCAAAATAAATTATATGTTTGTGTGTGCACACATAGGCTACAGAATAGGTTTGAGTACTTGAGGAAACGGATTCTCTCCTTCCACCATGTGGGTTAAGGGAAGCAGACTCAGGTTACCTATCAGGCTTCTCAGTAGGCACCTACTGACCCCTCTGTCGGCCTGACACCTGGCTTTCTCCCTGTGGCTGCTGGGATCTGAACTCAGGTCTTCATGTTTGGTCAGTGAGTGCCCTTATTTACTGAGACACTTTCCCAGTGAGGTGAAATCAGGGGCGAGCACACTGCTCTGTTCTAAGTATTTGTAGAATAAACCAAAGTACCATCTGACACTATGCATAATATAACATAATTTAAGTTAACATTATGTGACCCAAACCCTTTCAGAAAGTGGCATAAGCCAGGCATGGCAGTATGTGCTTGTCATCCTAGTGTCCAGCAGGCTGGGAGGAGACTGTGAGTCTGCGCTAGATGGTAAGATGAGGTCTCAAACAGACCGAGATGGAGAACCAAGCAGTAGCAGCTCAGCCTCCCACACGTTCCATGACTTACCCGAGGTTGCTGGGCAGTGGGGCAGCCACTCAAGGACAGCATTCTGAGATGTGTCTGTGGAAGCATCCCATTCTTCTGTCGACCACACTGCTGAAAAGGAACACACTCATCGCCTGAGGCCCCGCTCTCACAGCTCTTCCACGTAAATTACTCAGTCCAGTCTACTGTCAAGTTTAGATTTCAGGGAAGACTTTATTAAGTCATGAATTGAGTAACTTTAAACCTCCCTTCACCTCCATCCTAACCCCTCCACCTCTATAAGAGTTGTTTCTACCCCGTGTACGTGGGATGGGAAAGGAGGCGGTATGGTCCCACTGTACAGTTACTCTGCAGAATCCACCGTATGTGGTCTCGACCCTGAGTCCTTCAGATCAGGGCAATTTGTTCAGAGAGCAACAGCGCTACCCTGAGAGCGTTTTAGGTCAGTTGCCATCTCCTGAGTTCACTGGTCACATCTGTCATTGTGATCATAAGCAAGTTGTCAGTGGTAGTCTAGACAAGAAAGAGCAAAGGCTGTTGCGGGAATATCCTCTTAGGGTTCTGCAATTACATATGAAATGCTTGATATGTTAAAGTGCTCAAGTACTTTTTTCTTTAAAAAGACCAGGTCTCACTGTGTAGCCCTGACTGGCCTGAAACTTGTTATGCTGAAACTATGCTACCCAGGTTGGTCTGGAGCTCACAGAGATCCGCCTAACTCTGCTCCCCAGTGTTGGGATTAAATGTGTGAGTAACCACACTTGTTGCAGGCTCAAGTACATTTTTTTTTTCCCCCCAAGACAGGGTTTCTCTGTGGCTTTGGAGACTGTCCTGGAATTTGCTCTTGTAGACCAGGCTGGTCTTGAACTCACAGAGATCTGCCTGCCTCTGCCTCCCAAGTGCTGGGATTAAAGGCGTGCGCCACCACCGTCACCTGGCTTAAGTACATTTTTAAAAGAATATTTTGGAAGGTGTCTACTGGTAAGAAGGCAAAGTACAATCTAAAAGCTTCTAGAAAGAAACAGCGCACTG